TAAACAAATCTATACCGACTCAGCTGTGTATCTAACAAACTATAGTTTGTCTAAATAAGATAGATTAGTTTAAAAATTCATTTGACAATTCAGTAGGGATGGGTTGTGTAGAATCAGGCATGAATCTGTTCGATTTTTATTCTTACAGAAGTTGGAATCAATAGATTCTAGTTAGGACTTATGAATTAAAAAACGGTGTTTTCTCAAATTAATAATGACCTGCAGAACCATTACAAATAATGAGAGTAAATAAATATTCATTGCTACTACAGCAGTACATAATCGTATTGGATCTCGCTGTTATTATTATCAACGCTGAATTCTCTACACAATAATCAATACTAGAATTGTCCTCTAAGTAAATGTATAAGAAAATAATAATTTTAGTTGAGTTTGATAATTATTTAAACAGAATATCGATAGTTCATAATTGTTCGCTGCGTGTTTGTTTTACTACGATGCCTGTCTATTAAGTACGGCATGCCTTTATACAAATTGAATTCTATACTTCATATGCGTCATTTATCAAACTAATCTATCTTATTTAGACAAACTCTACCAAGGTTTTACCTAGAGTCAAATTGAGGTTGGGTAGCAGTATGTGCAGGGCAGAACAATAAAAATATAATTGATTTTTTTTATAACATAAGATAGCAATCGAGCAAGAGGCCACCTGAATCCACCAAAATGGCAAGCTACCGCTGCACATAAACATCTGCAATTGCAGATGCGTTGCCTACTCTTAATTGACAGAGGAGAGGCACATAAAGAGGACATTTCCCCTTCCTATGCGTCTCCTCCACCGACAAATCCACTTTTCCATCCCATATTTTCCTGTGATGAAAAGGGTGGAAAGGGAAAGGGACTAAAATTACGCCTCCGGCACCACACTCAACCGACAAAACGTGGAATTGCTTCCACTTCACGCCTGTTTTCTGTGTGGTCGTAGTATTACATCTAACGAGCCGACCTATTCGTGCGAAGATGTTAAAGCGGACTCTACCACTGTAAATGTCTGATTTGACCTTGAAGCACAGGCAAGTAGACTTAAAATGGGTATTCCTTGTCACAAGTCACAAAATGTAGGAACAGTTTAGGTACAGTCGCGGTAATCGTTGGTGTTCCACTTTAGCATAAATTGTCATAAAAACTTCGCCTCTTCCTACAAATAAACAATTAGATATCAGTGAGTGCAAACGAAGGAAAAACAAACAGGAAAAGCCATGAACTAGCAGACTTTTCTTCGTACAAATATATTTATAAGCTGTATTGGTTTTTGTTCCGCGTCATCTTTTGAATAGAACGATTGTAGCTTTTAATGTGAACATCGCCAATATCCCCGACTGTACCTATGGTTACAATTTCTTAAACTACGAAAAATTTAATCTGCCAGAGCACATTCTTGGCAAATAATTGCTATTATAGCAATATCTAAGTAATATTTACATTAATACTAGCTTTCACCCGCGACTTCATACGCGTGGAATGAAAATAAAAAAAAAGTGAGTAGCCTATGTGTTCTTCAAATATCAAATACCAAATTTCATCGAATTCCGTTTAGCCAATCAGGCTACAAACTGTAACAAACATCCATCCATCCATCCATCCAAACTTTCACATTTATAATATTAGTATAATAAACATAACTTACCTATGGGTACCACCACCACGAACACGTGGGATACGAGCTACAGCACGACCGGTACCCCATGACTCAGCACTGGTTTGATGACCTGGTCACAACAGAAATCACATCATTAGCCTATGCCGATCCACTGACAGTTTTCTATTGGTTTAAGTGCATCTGTAAATGCTAATGTTGATATATTCAGAATTATTGGCCAAGTACGAACTGCCATTTTATTTTTTTATATAAAACTAGGTAGCAAACGAACAAGCGTCCACCTGAAACCGCCAAAATGGCGAAGCGACCACTGCCCATAGACATCCGCAATTGCAGATGCGTTGCCTACCCTTATACGACGGAGGAGGAGACGCACATATAGAGGATATTTCCCCTTCCTACGCATCTCCTCCACCATCAAATCCACTTCCCAAACTCTCCTTATAAGAAAACGGTGGTAAAGAGAAAAGGACTTAAATTAGGCCATTTAATGTCAAGTAGGTGAAATGGGCATTATTGTAAAATTTTTTAATATATTTTGTACAACAGTCACTGCACCCGTGACCACTACAGAGTGGTCCCGGAACGCCATGTCTGTGCATTTACTATAGCACTAATCCGCAGTAACACTCGGTAGCACTTACAGCTTGCCGAATGTGGACATTTAGTGCAGATATAATATGGTAATTTTATTGTCAAACAACCACTGGTTTATCAACAAGAAATATAGGAATAAATGGTATTTTATGAATATAGTGACTTGTTACAAGCTTTAAGCAATAGTTGGTTTTTAAGGTCATTTTTCAATATTGATTTGTATATTTTTAAGCTTAAATGCAAAGATTTCAGAAATTCATACACTAGATATATGGAACAATAATTTTCACCGGTAACTTCTTTGAACGGTAATATATCAAAATCAAATTTGACATGCAGAGACGCTACCTAGTGTTTGAATAATTCGTTTGCTAGTGATTTGACTATTGGACACTTGACTTCACTTTTTGCTAACTATGCTCTCTCTGTATTTTTGAATCTATTTAAAAATGATCAGTATTGGGCACAGATAATTCTTTTCTCATAATTTAAAATAAACACATAAAACTAAGTCTACATACCGGCCTCCTTGCTCACGCTGTAAGGCTGTCTTGAGTTCTTGGACATAGAAACATGGACATCGTTGACGAGGTCCGGCCGGATGGGCGCCTTAAACACGAACGGGAGAGCGATAGAGGAGCCCTGCTCCACTTCACTCTTCTCCGAGTATACCGACACCAAAGGTCGGGCAACTGATAGACTCTGAAATTAGAAAATCAACTTTTAAAAGTTTCTTCTGGATTTTTTTTTATTTACAAAGAGAATACAACACTTACAGAATAGAAGCATTATAAAACCTCTACCGGTGTACACACTCGTAACTAACATCCTTCTTGTTGGAAACGAATCATCACTTCCATCTGATTAAAGTTATAATACAATTTAACTAAACAAGAAAGAAGTTCTTGCACAAATATTATTGTTACACCTAGTTTTAATATTGTTATAGTAAATTTTCTTTTATTTAGTGTAAAATAAATAAATAACTTAGAAATATAAGAATTTAAACCCTTTTAGAATTGAGTCAAGAGCATTACTTAATGTTATGCAATCTTAACTTATTTGAATATGTTGGTACATTCTTTTGTATGTAGAATTTCCTAGAGGATCTTTATTATAAGGGTTATCTTCCAAAACATTCTCTGCAGGGAAGAGACAGTTATATGAAACTGACATTCTCTGAGACTCCTTCAGAGCAATTTAAGTCATGTGATCTACATAGGAAAGCACTGGAACTTAGCTTATAAGGGGGATTACACATCCCTCATCCCTTGCTATAAGGAATTGTCTTAATATCCTAGAAAGTGTTCTATTGTATTAATACAAAATACAGTGGTCGGCAAACTTATTAACCAAAGAGCCAAATGTAAACATTACAACTAATTATAAAATAAATTAGGAGCCAAATTTGCTTGCTTACTAAACAAAACTTTAAAATTAATAAATAATTCTTAATGCAACAATGTGTTTGCATCTCCTTTGAAAGTATGAGTAGATCAGAGCCACACTTAAGGAGCTAGCCACATACAGCTCTGAAGCAGCATTTTAACGACCACTAATCTGATAGCATAAACATTTTTAAAATCATATGGTTGTCTTCTTATTGTCGACACACTACTCAAACTGGTATGAGCAATGTTTCCTAAAAGAAATTTAATCTCCCCCTTCTTGTACCCAGAAGACTATAACAGCACAACCAGGAAGAGTATGGGGTTACGAAATGAAAATTGACAAAGAAAAAACAAATTATATAATAAAAACAAAAGATTGCAGTTTATTATCGTTTAAATCTAGTTTAATAATGATTATTAAATGTAAATAAAGCTATGATTATGAAAATAAATGTCTTGTAGGTGTTTGTAAAATCATAACCTCAAAAATAGTTTCATGGATTTTACTAGGCTATTCACACTTACAACTTAATTATAATGTTAAAAAGGTGATATTAAATATAAGCTTGTATTAGCTAATATTTCATAAAAATACATAGCTTATAAACACAAGCTTTCAAGGACATGGGACAAACACATTGGTTACATGCCGTCTTCGATACAAAACAACATTTTTCCATGTATTTCACAAAAATATCATAAGGTTATATTAAAACTGATGTCCTTATTCGATTTATAATAAACAGATCATGAAAAAATAACAGATTAACGATATTTCACGGAACTAAAATGCAACACGTGGGATCAACCGTATTATAAAAAAATCAGTTCTACGCCCGCACATACACTATTAATACAACACTTTAGTATTTAACAGTTTATAATATCACTATTTTTGGAACTTAAACTTACCATTTCGCTGTATTAGCGAAGCAATTCCTCCAAAAACACACTATAAGCGGTGGTAAAGACCATCCGCCATGCCACGGAGGAATAAAAAGACCGGAAGAGAAGTTTTAAATGACAGTAGTAAACGACAGTTGCCATAAAACAAATTAGTCATTTTAGTTAAAGTTCTCTTAAAAAATTGATCATTTTTCGTTTATTTAATTCGTTAATATTAACTAAAAAAAAATCTATTATAATAAAAGACCTACTTTTATGAAACAATTATTTGAAAAGCATCTTGTAAACTCGACTTTGACTCGACTCGAATTGTTTTAATTCTTAAGATCTTTTAAGATACTGTTTACTTGAATCATAGTTGATTTTTGTCGCTCCTTCTTGAATATAATGTGATCATCATCATGAAAATCTTAAACTGAATATCCATTTTTTGGACTTATCCTTGTCAATCATTGTCAAATAAACTTTGATGAATGGAGGAATCAGTTATTTGAACATTGAAAATCAATATTAAAACAGTTGATAAAGGTCATTTAATTGTATGTGATGTATAAAACGCCGTCTAATATTATTAGACACGATATTATTTACATTAATTAGATGTAACTGCAAAGAAGACATGTGTTACTTAATTTTTTTTATCAAAAACGTATATCAGCCATTTCTTAATAAAAAGAATATTTTGGATAAACCAAAATGGGTGAGAATTCCAAAGAGAAACTTCCTCGTAATAAAGACAATGATAATACTGATATCAATGAGGATCAACTACCAGTTCTGATACCAGAAGCACAACCTACTACCTTAAATATACCCGCGCCTTTAGAAAATGTATCTTCAAATATTCCAGAAGAGACCACAACTAATAAACAGCAACCTCTAAGTATAAAGTCCCCTAAATCATCTTTAACATTGTGTGTGTCTAAAAATATTCTCTTACCAAAGACAAAATCAAATTCTCTGATTAGACCACTACCATCAACCTCCTATAGCGCGACAACTTCAAGATTTCTCAATACACCATGTACGATGGAAATGCCAACTCTATTCCAACTTTGTGTTTCACAATTAAATAAAAGTTCTATCAGCCTTTCTGCTTACACCAATCCCAGAGTCACACAAGCATCGGAGAATGCTGAAGCGATATCCGCGGACTTATCAACTCCTGATTCCCTTACTAGTGCACCACCTTCTTACTCGTTTGTATTAAGACAAATGGATTTAAGACGTAGACCAAGGCTTTTAGGTACATTTATACCTTCACCCTCTTTTATAGCTAAACCTCCACCACCTACGTATGCAACAGCTTTTGATATTTATGTTGATAATCCCATACCTCCTCCTCCGAGAATGTACAACTATGGTTTTACATCAATGCCTGTGATATGTCCTGAATGTGGATACACAGGTATGAGTATGATCACTGCTAGAGTTACGGTGTGTACACATTTATGTGCGGTGGCGTTGTGTGTTTTTTGTTGCTGGTTTTGTGTGCCGTTACCATACGTTTTGCGTTCTTGTAAAAATGTATACCATTATTGTAGAAATTGTCGTACTTTTTTAGGAATGTATTGTCCAACTAACCCCGAAAATGTTTATTAATGAAATAGATATTTTAATTATGGTATTAAAGTTGTTTTGTGTAAGCAATCTTTTTTTTTGGAAATGCAATTCATCACGTGATCGGAAAACTTTCTATGGAATTCGGATTTTATGTTTTTTTTTATGGATGATATAAGCATCTATTAAGATCGGATTAAATTATTTTAATTTAATTAACACTTAAGAAATACGAGCTGTTCTTATTAGATTTTAAATAAAATAAAAGAGATTTTGTAAAAAATGTTAAAGAGTTGCCATCATCATGCGCTTATTTGCCAAAGACAAATTCTTTGGTTAACCTTCGGCAAGACAATTTAAATTTTATTTCCTTTTTTTAACATAAACTTTACTAGCGATTATTACGACACTGTTGAAAAATGAATATTTAAGGTATTAGTAAAAGAATGGGCCAATTTATTGTTATTTAATACGGTGGTCGATGTTTGAAATGAAATGTGATTTATTTTATGGTTGCGTTCATGCAAATCATGCTTAATTTAAGTTTTCCGGGTGTGATTCAAAGCTTATATAAATTATTATAGTATTATTTTATGATGCAACATATCTTACAATTACGTTATTTGTACTTAAAAATTGTTTGAGTCGGTTAATTTTATTTTAATCATTGAAAATAAATGAATTAACTTGAACGCTATCACTGTCAATACAGTTTCAGCGCCCTCTAGCGATAAAATGTCTTATTTGTAAAATTAGAAGTCACAGTTCTGCGAGTTCCGTATGTGTTGCGGAAAATACCCTTTTTGGGCGTCCGACCACATGTGTGAATTGTGAACAAAATATGGTTCAATAGTGATTTCCAGCACAAAGAAGCTTTATTTGCAGTGTTTAGTATACGGGATCGATAGGTACTGTGCGCCCGGAGCGTTGTGTGTCATTGAAAAGTCTAAAAGAGCCGTCGGTAGTCTACCTTTTTGATGTAAATACGGCCCGAATAGGTTCTGTCTGGTGCGTGTTACAAAGTCAGCGAAAAACTCTCGATTTGTAGAACTCCAGTCTTTGTTATTAGTTGTGTGCACCGCGGCTTTTCAAGTCGACCTTCACGCGATTGATTCGGGTCGCGTTTTACGGGAAAGTTCGCCTCGCTCCGTGGGTACAGCCCGCAGCATGCCGTCGTGCTAAGTGGCATGGATGCGCGCTCGTGATCGTCGGCCGGCGCGGAGCGCGCGCCCGAGCTTATATAACGAGGATAGCGGCGGCATGGCCGCGAGAGTGTCGGTCGAGGGCGCAGGGCCCTCGTACGCCTCGGTGCTGAACTTCAAAGGGGGGGATAGTAATAAGGAGAACATAGAGACTTCCGAGGAGACGGTGGACGTGGTGCCGCGGCAGGATGAGGAGGAAGAGGAGGGTTTCGTGCCTGTGATGTCGCACGGGCGACGTCCAGGCAAGGGCCGGAAGGAGCGAGAGCGCAGAGGGCCGCCCCGGGCTCACAAGAACCCTCAGCCGCACACCGAGCCACAGCCTTCGCAGGAACAACAGCAGCAGTCTGCAGAGGATCAGCCGAAGAAGTTTGTAGAGGCTCCTATACCGAAGGTCAATCCTTGGCAGGTGAGTGACTATAAAAGAGTCTAAAGAGATGTTCAAGTGTTATTTAAGAATGATTGTGTGAATGAGTAAGCTAAAACCTACTTATTTCTTATCATGATGATTGTCTAAGTTCATGTTTACATGAATACTTCTTATTAATTACTTTTTTAATTGCCGCCTCATAACTGTAACCAGTTAGTCATACAAGTGTATCAATTCTCGGTTGTTGTGAAATATGTCTTGTAATTATGCCAAAGTAATGGTTGAATACTCAAACAATAAAATTTGTCACAGTCTAAAATTATAGGGCCATACTTAAACTACAAATTCCATTAAATTTGCCATCTGTCGGATTGTAAGACACAAATCGGAGAGCTCAACATACATTTCACAATCCAACGTAACTTAAATAAACTTAAATTTTTTATATGTGATCAATAGAATTGTGACATAATTTATGTTAATTTCAAGTAACTGGTAGCTTATGTTATGTACATTTTGATAACTTAGTTATGTTGATATTGCATAACATACTTCAGAACTTAGGTAATGTTTGTATAACATACAACTTGAACAATATATAATGTAGCCTATGTTATTCACAGATAATGTAGCTTTTTGTGGTGAAAACATTTTCCAAATCGGCCCAGTAGGTTTCAAGTTATTTCAATACATACAATAGTCCAAAATTTCACATTTATAATATTAGTAAGAAGTCTATACTAATATTATAAATGTGAAAGTTTAGATGGATGGATGTTTGTTCCACATATATCCTAAACGGCTTAATGGAAATTAGTCACAGATGAATATAATCTGAAAGATTACATAAACTATTTACTAAGTAATACTTTTAATTCTACACATATTTAGTATAAGGTAACTATTAGTGCAATAAAATAAAAGTTATTAACTCAATTTGTATGAAGAAAAGATATCAAAATAATATTTGATAAATTTTTTTTAACATTGTTAATCATGATCAAGGTGGATTTGACAAAAGTAAGTACTTTTGTTCATGTTCAAGTTAAAATATTGATTAGTTTGTGGAGTACCTTCATTCTATTAGTTTTCTTGACAAAACCTTTTTTATACCCTCTTGAATGCATCTTATTTATATACTAATAGCTATATCTTCCCGCTTTATATAGTTATTTCTTTAATTAAATATTTTCTCGTGTTGGTGTAAAACACAATAAGTATGAGTAAATGTTAAAAAACAATAATGTATCTCACCGGAACCATACCTGCTTCTGGAATCAAAAGTATAGCCTATATGTTCTTCAAGACTATCCTCTACATCAATGACAAATTTTATTGAGTACCATTCAGTCATTTAGGCTACAAACTCTAGCAAACATCCATACATCCAAACTTTTAAATTTATAAAATTAGTTAAAAATAGCTGTCACGCAATGATAATTCTTAGGATAAAGTAATCTTTGTAATAGCAACATTGATTTTTGAGTTAATACTTTTGGTATACAAAATTATGAGTCTTTCCTGTTTACATTTTAGGTAATAACTTTATAATTTCCAAAATTAAGAAATTTAACATTTCCAAATGTGTACACTAATATCTGTGGGCTTTTTGCTAAATTCAAACAAAAGAGCTGAAATACAAGTTTACATAAGAGCACCTAATAAAAAGCTGAGTTAACCCTTGACTCGATAGTGTCGAGTGTTGCAAACAGCTAATTTAGAAAAATCTATTTTATTCATTACATTTATGTTTCATAAATAAAATTATAACATCATTTATATCATCAGTCTTTATCTGCTCTGATGATGATGATAAAATCATATCCAAGCAGCTAAAACCTCCTAAACCTACTACTACTGAAAAAATCTTTTTTTTACACCAAAAACTCAATCAAATTAGGGCTTAATATATTTTGTAAATGAATCATTGTAATAGTAATGCAGTATTAAGAAAGTATAGAAAGAAGCGAGCCTATCATTTTCTCAAAGGCCGACAATGCATCTTTAGTTCCTCTGGTGTTGATGTCCACGGGCTTTGTTAACCTCCTTGGTATTCCCGCAGCTTGTTTGCCCCCTTTTGATATAAAAAAACAATTTTGAAGTCTTTGTTATTATTCAAAATATGTTTTAGAACATTGTTGGTATAGATGTTAAGGACTTGACATCTGGAAGTCCTGAGTTTGATCTACTATGTCCTAAGTATGATTTGATTTTCGAATTTCATATGTATCCAACCTTTTTACTGAAGGAATATATGGTAATATCTGCACAATTTAAGGAAAACATTTAAAGGTATATGTGTAACCTACTGTGGGCCAGAGGTTGACTGCCTAGTGACTAAACATGAAGAAGGCTCTGAGCCTCTGTAGGAATGTATGAGAATGATTGTTATTTTATTTAATTAACAATGTTACTTTATGGTGTAGGATGTCAGCAATTGCAGCATATTTTTGAATAATTCTTATAATTCTCTAATAATTCTTTAATAAAAAGCCCTAAACTTACGACACGCTTTAGGCTACATATTTTCACGCTATTACGAAAGAACCTTCATGTGGGAAAGGGAGCATAAACTGAAAGCTGCCAACAATATGGAAGCAAAATTGTTATGGTAATGTGTATTTTGGCATTGCATTTTGTAATTGAGAATTTGACAATTGTAAACTATGAAATAATTATAATTTCATGCGGATCAAGCGGCACATGAAAGGCTAGTCATAAAATAACAGTATATTATCTGACATTTTTAAAATAAGGTAGCCTTTTGGGTCAATACTGCATAATTAAATGCGACTTTGTTCATGTAAAATTGAAAGATAGTAAAAAGCCTAGCGCTTATTTTATCTGCTAATAAGGTAGCATTTTAATAGTCCAAGAATTTTTAAATCGGAAAGAGCAATTTTTTCCCAATATACTAATAGCTTAAAAAAGAATTTTTCAAAAATATGCTCTGATTGCTGACAAATATGTGTGTCTTAACATTTAATTATTTAGTATAGAATATAGAAATATGCCTATAATGTTGATCTTAGCTGACAATGCATGGTTTATTTTTTTAGTCCACACGTAACATTGCATAATTATTCTCTGTTACTAATTGTACCATAAATTAGCCTCATCAGCATATATAATATTGTAAAGATGAATGTTTTTGTAATTATGTATGTAAACTCATAAACTGCCAATGACATTACAAATTTCAATTGGTATGTTTTCTTTGAATACGATTTCGTCTGCGTGAAGGTAAAAAAACAAAAGTAAGTAGCCTATGTGATCTTCCAGACTATCCTCTATATTTGACTAATTTCAGCAAGATCTATCAGCAGTTTAGGATACAAACTGTAACAAACATCCATCCATCTAAACTTTCACATTTATATTAGTAAGATGGTATATCAAAATGTCCTTTAAGTTTTCAATTGACTCGCTTGTTGTAGTACAGAGATTCTTGATTTATTTTTTCATCAACCCCTTGTAAAACCATCTTTTAGGTTTATGAAATATTTTGATTTTTATAACATTTAATAAATGTACAGATATGCTCCTAAGAGCCTTCAGAGTTTGAAACCAGTTAACATTTTCTTGGACCCCCAATTTAGTTTCCAGAGCTCATGGGTCCGTAGAGACCTGGACCACTTTGGAAAACACTTAAATAAATATTTTGCCCAGTAAAGTGCTGCTATCATGCTTAGTTCTGATAGAAAATATGGTAAACCTTAGGCATAGAATGACAAGACTAGACAGATACTGTACAAGGTCTTGTGATATTGACAATGAGTGTTGGTGACCTATTGTAATTAAAATTTGTTTATGATTAAATAATGTCACCAGTACTTTTGACAAAAAAAATCTTTCTGTTGTCGCGGGAAATGCATTTACACACTGCACTGTGCTGCGGAGGCAGCAGGGACAGTTTCGTGTGGGACTCCCGGTTTTATATTTCAGCTGGACTACCCACTAAACCCCGCGGTGTTCTCCTTCGCCCAACCGGGTCGTGGCATCTACGTTAGTTTATCCAGGACCTGGCAAAGAAAACACATTGTATGTTTTGATTGAAAATAGTAAAATTATTGCATTTATTTCCTGTGTTGTCTTGTCTATGTTTTTTTTTTCCTAAGCAGTAATATTTTATTTTTTAGTTAAGTTTACAATAGGACTAAAGATTATTTTGTTCTTTATTTTTTATTCTTATGTTTTTTTGGCCTGACAGTCTTAAGTCTGGTTTCAGTATTTGTAATCTTTTAAAAAACTATTACTATGTCATCATAATCACTTTCACTATATCCCCATTCTTAGGGCTAGGAGCCTATTCTAAGGTGTGACTTAGTCAACCATGCTACTCCACTGCGGGTTCACTTCACACGAATATTCAAATTTCTTGACAGATATGTGCAGGTTGCATCATGTTTTCCTTTACCGAAAGAACGTTAATTCTACATATGAAATTCTAAAATCGAAATAACATTGGTACATGGCGGGAAACAAACCTCGACTGCAGACTTCTTAATATCAATACTAACATTATAAAGAGGAGAGATTTGTATTTTTGTATGTAACGAAATAAGTCTAGTGGGCCGTTTTCTTTCGCTATTAAAAAAGCTACGATATCACGTAATACCATAGGCTATTTTTTTTATTTTTACGCGGGCGAAGTCGCGAACGGTAGTTAATTTATTAATATTTTATCCAATAAACTGGTTATGCCTTCAATGTTAGTTTTGATATTATCAAATGACCTATTGGTTTATTGTGACATAACACGTGTTAATTTTTGAGGTTATTTTGTAATTGTGTACGTCTATTTTGTTATCTGTACGATTTCGTAATGGCGCCCGTCAAATTGCCGCGAGTGCATTGATACGCGTGTAAAGATTTTCTACGATACAGATAATGCGGATAAAAAATTCCAATTTTAATTGATGTACAAAAAGTATATTTTTTTTTGTTTTATCATAATTAGAATTATGATATTAACGAATTATAATAAAGATTAATTTTATGTAGATAAAAAAATAATGGAAGTTAATTATATTAATACT